TTCGTTATTTAAGTATTATAGTTCGATTTAACATAGATTCACACTAGAAAAAAAAAATGATATTAGTGTTAAAATGCTCTCTAATAAATGTGACTCGTTCATAAGGAGACTCAAACATGAGACTTTTTGGTAAGATTGGAAGAGTACTTACCGCTCCACAACTAGAGGTGAGAAGCCATTTTGTGGTTAGGGAGTTCATCTTGACCCCTTTCGGCTGAATATTATACTATGTAATGAAAATAATTATTTTTTATGTATATATAACAGATGTCTAACCCGTTTTAGTTAATTCATGTGTTTATTTATTCAGATTTTGATATTCTTAATGAAAATTATGCTCCGCCAATGTCTACCGCAACCCTTGTTGGTTGAAGAACATATATACTTTCAATAAACACATTTTCTTCGCATTTTCAAGATTATTTTCGTTTAAGTTTATTAGGAAAGATCAATTAGAAAAAACACTAATGCATCATTCTATACAATTTCTTCTATCATTCTTTTCTTAGCTTAATGCTGTTAGGTTGATATTTCAAATTTACATTGTCTCATTTTTAATTAAAAAAAATAAAAAAACTGTTGGTTAAGCGTATAATGTATAGTTGTAATGTTGTATAATATAGACTTTTCGCCTCTGGAATATTAATTTATACTCTTATTAAATAACACTAACTATTGGGAAGTTGAATTTTTTGGTGTGTTTGTACAAAACTATGTGAAACTATACGCATGATATTTGTTTGCGTATTAATGCGCCTCTTAATTATCCTGGTTAAGTTTAATATATTTTCACTTTATTGTAAATTTCTTTGTTAATATAATTTGATATAAATATTGGGTTCGTAAATCGTATAATTATTTGAGATATATCCATTAGGTGTACTTGCGAGTTAAACTAACTAAAGATCCCATTTTATAAGAGTTAGGTTTCACACATTAAATTAAACATTTAAACTTAAGTCAACTACGTACATATATAAAACACCTAGACAAGTAAGTATACATAACATATTGTACGCCAAAACCTTACAATTTGCAACATTAAATTTCTATAGTTAGGCAGCACTCATGAATAAGTAGTAGTAATAAATACAATTTATTTTTACGTAGAGTAGTACTAAGGTAGTTTCAAAAAGTAGGATTCTCATTTAAGTGTGTTTTACTTTTATGAGTATTGAGTTACATCTATGTAAATGAACCTTGTACGTACCAAAAAGTAGGATACTCAATTAAGAGTTTATTTACTTTTATGAGTGATATCTATGTTGTAAACTCGTAATTGTTCTCATAATTATGCTCGCATTGTTTAATTATAAATGGTGTTTTTAACTAGAACACATTTTTTAAGTTGACTCTCAAAAGTATAACGTGATAACTAATGATATCGTTTACATGATTATAGGAAAAAAAAAATAACAATAATATTATTATTATTATTATTATTATTATGTTTCAGTGTCAAATAAGTTGAGATTAATTATTTAAATTGCATGACACCAATATTAATATTTGCTAAAAAATCATAAAACTTATTTTTGGAATTTCCCCGCCCCCCGCCCCAGTTTAACACAAATTGTTTCCAACCTAACTTCAATTTTATTCCTCTTCTAATTTTAGGAAAACATTAAAAAAAAAAAGTTGTTTTTTTCAAAATACCATCTTTTAGTAATTATTTTGAGCTGTTGGAACAAACGTCCGACTTTATAGGGACAATCGAATAATAATAGTATAAACATTATCTTTACTTCGAATATTTTAAAACTTTAAGCAGTAAATTCAACCTATTTCTTTCTCAATACAGCCTTTTTCTAAGCATCAAACAGTTGATGGAACAGCCATCAGCAGTAAAGCTAAAGCTATAAATAGAAAAAAATAATATAATTTTTAAAAAGAATATTAATTAGGTCTTCTATTTATAACTTCAAAATGGAAGCCTCAATTTATCCAATGTGTTAATGAAATCTGTATTTTACAGTAAATAACTAAGAGTGGTAAAAACTAAAAAAAATCATATTTCAAAAGTAGTTAGCCTGAGTCTAAAGCCTTTAGGGCTAGGCAGCCTTAAAAGAAAAAAATAAATAGGGCTAGCCTGTAAAATTTGATTGTAGGGTTGGAGGTGTTATTAAATATTGGTTTTATAGTACAAATTACATTTTTGTTGTGAAGCAAGGGCCACTACAAGAAACCTAGATATGATTAATGAATCTTCCCTATGTCTATACTTTTAGATTAGATTGGTAATTAAAAAAAGCTATTAATAATGCTAATAATGAGACGAAAATGTTTGGAAGCTCTAAATTATAGGTTAGATGTAGTTGCATTATTACCACTCTTATAGTGTAGTGGGATAATTAAGATTTTTTTTTTATGGTGGTGATGTTCGAATAAACTTGTGTGTAGTCTGATTAATTTTATGGAGTATTTGCTTTGTCTCATCAATGTATATATTGGTAGCTTTGTTAATTAGGATTTGAACATGGGTGAAAAATCACTTAATCAGGATTTTGAACTCATTTCATTGATCATTAAAACACTTCCTTGATTACGACGTAATAGTCCGGATTTTCCCTCCTCTTAAGCAAATGGTATAAGGTTTGAGAGTTGAATTAGTAAGTTTTTGGTAATTTTTTTTTTTTTACCTTTTTCATTGAACCTTTTAAAATGTAAATTTAAATTAGTCAAATGTCCAACAAGGGAATTTCGTGAAGAAAGAAGAAGAAATTACCAAATTAATTTTATCAAATCACATCACTTTAAAAATAAAGTTTTTTTTTAACTGCGAATCAATGGGAAAATTATGCTATAAAATATGATTTCTTTTAGTTATTTTTATGCATAGTGAAAAAGAGATTCTTACTTAAATAATGGAAAACTTTCTAATTTTTTCGTATGAAAATGTTAGTATTTATTTTTTTCTCACCGATTCAATTTAAATATCTATGAAAATAGCTGCTAAACATATTTCAATAAGAAAATAATGGAGTAATTTTTAACTCCTAAATTTGAAGAAAAACCAGAATAATTAATTTGTTCTCGTACAATAAGAATTAGGTTTGAATAGTGGCATTTTAAATTGTCTCATTTTTAATTGATGATGTTCTTCTTTGCAATAAATACACCTATGACCAATCAACAAGGGTTTGTGATAGAGTGATAAGTATTTTTTCATCCTTATCCAAAAAGGTCTCGGGTTCGATCCCTCCTTGGCTATGAAATCGTCTTTGTTAGGAAGCGCTTTATCCTCAATGGGACTTTTCGGCGCGAATCCAAATTTAATCGGGATCCAATATAGGTACCAGAAACAAAAAACAAAAACACCTATGACCAAACTCATATTCATAATTCATTTTGGGTTGTTTGCTGCTGCTATCCTACACTATTTATAGCCCTTTTTTAGCCTTTAGAAAAAAGTTTCATTTTTATTTTACTTTCCATCTTCTATTAATTGTTTCTTCTGGGACATATCAATCTTTAATTTTTGGTTTGCCAAGACGCAATTATTGTAAGCATTCACAAATATTACTACTACTACTATTACTTTATTAAATAAAAACGTAAGAAGCTAATGAAATTAATACTCCTTTCTCATTAGCTAGGACTCGAGAAGACAAATTTCCTAATATTTGTAAAATTTGTTGGATATATATATATTATAAGGAACATTTGTTATATTCTGAAAATGGAAAATATTACTAGTGAGGGTAATAGGGACCTCCCTATATTTACAAATTACATATGTAGATAATTATTCTTTGAATAAAAGTCCTATCAGTCACATAAATATCTTTATTTTGGCGCGGTCTATAATTTTCTCCCTCAAATTTCTTTAATTTTTATCATTCAATATACTAGTTAAGTAAAAAAATAAGTATATCAAAAATATTTTTGATACCGTAATTATAAATATTTTTTGCTCGACATAAATTTATATTTTCATATAGTATAATATGGCGCAAGTTATGTGTTTTTAAATAATAGAGGCAAATCATTCAATAATGTCACTAGTAGCCTCGTGGATATTGGATTTGAAGCCAACTACATATCTTTTAGTGGGAATTTTTTTCATTTAATTGCACGAGTTTCATTTTAAATAAATTGATTTTCTAAGTTGTGTCCTTTATATGAGTTAATCTTTAAGTTTTTCAGTTAGCAATCGAACTTAGCCAAATAGGTCATAAATTTTTTAAGGATGCGAGACATGATTTATAGGATATTATAATGTAAAAATATAAACTTATGCTCCGCAAAAGAATAAGTATTTATCTCGAAAGATAAAAATTAAATGTTAGCACAAAATAAAGGCAAAAGTGGAAAATGTCCCAAGTTTTTGTCCAAACCTCTTACTTGGGCTCACTTATGGTCCAAACATGTCTTTTTGTGGACCGTTTGGCAAAGTTTGGCAGACCATGAGCCCATGGACTGGCTACATGTAGGTTAGTTAATTTAGGAGTACTCTAAATAAATAGGGATAATACTCATTCTATTGTCAAGTTTTAGTTACAACTTCTTAGGTACTTATACTTAAATTACAAAATATACATCCTTGTGTGGTTTGTAGGCTATTACACGGTGAGAGATTTTCCGCGTGCGCACAACGTGCTCATCCGAAGGGTAGAGATTGTAGCGCTTGTATACATCAGTAGGGAGGCTCGACCAAGCATCACGGTAGCACACCTCTGAATTCTTCTTGACATGTGCCAGTCATTGACTTGTTGTGATAGGTTTGGGATTAGCAAGGGAATAACTTTCAAATTAATCAGTCCAATCGAAAGCCCCTTCCTCCACCGTCCTCACATGATCCTAAGCCAGAGTCCCCTGAAGGAGCCATCATGTTTGTGGATTGAGAATAACACTTTACTAATTATAGTAACATGTATTAAGAAAAGTAAGGGATTAGGCTCTTTCCATTTTCTCAACAACACAAAAAGAGCTGGTTACGCTGAATCATGATAAGTATAATTGAACTCCTAGTAGTCTCCTATAATAAATTCAAAGAAATATTTATCAAACTAAGTAATCACAATTCACCCATAATTTAATAATGACTATAAGAAACAATTACAAAATTGTAAACTATATTGACAATCATAAAAAGTTTGGCGAAATTGTTATTTGTTTGAATTGAGTGTTATTGCAAACGATTGGTAATATTCATTAGAGATTATATGTAAATTTTGATGGAGTGGTGTGAATTTTAGAATTAGTTTTGATTAGAAATTCATAACAAAACTCGAAAAGAAAGAAGAACAATGATATTTTCTGAATCCCAATTTATAAATAAGTTATTTGTATTTGTATTTCGGGTATATATTATTTATAGGTCTAGTGTATCACTGAATATAAAGAGATATACACATGATATAAATGGATCTGAAGGACTAATGGGTGTAATTTGGGCTCAATAATTTCCCTCCCAAAGCTAATCTTCTGAATTTTTCCTTTCCCTTTCTTATAGACAATGGGCTGAAACCAGTTAATGGACTATCTTAGTCAAACATTATAAATAACTTTCCTTCAAAAAAAGAATGTTTTTTTTTGGACAACTTTTTGATTATAACTTTCCACGTAACGTGTTTAAGACCACAAAATTAAATGACATTTTGATACATTTTATATATCTTTAGTTTAAAACCACCAGATTCAAAAGTCTTTTCTACTTTTTGAAACTCAGTGTCAAGTCAAAACAAGATAAACAAATTGTAATGTAGGGAGTAATAGGTAAAGGAGATCTTTTTTTGCTTTTATTACATCTCAAAGTTACAAAATTCAATTTTTAACTAATTCCCTTGACAAATAACATGATTTCCTCTAAACTTGCTAGAAGAATGATGTTGCACCAATGGGCTCTTGTTGGTATCAAGATAATTAAGAAGAAAAACCATCCCAATTGAAGTAACAAACATTGGAATTGGACCAAAAAACCATAACAACAAAGTTATAGCAAAATAAAGAGCTCTAAGCCCAATAGACCAAAAATCACCTCCCCTAATCACAGCCAACTCCACATAGCTTGAAGAAACTTCACTATTTGGTATACTAATTAGGTAATTTGCATGGATGAAACATCTTGATGATTGAACAAAACATGAAAATGCAACCAAAAAACATAAAAGAAGACTTATGTACTTAATTGACAAAGTAGATGCCCTTGTGTCACCATATATCAATTCACTACTAAAAATAGTTGAAGTATTTGCCATCCATGCTCCAATTAGAGAGCTCAAAGTTAAACACACAGTTGCTAAGAATGTTGCTCCTGAATTATTTGCTGATAGAACATATAAGGCTGTCATAACATCTCGGTTTTCGGTCTGAAAAAAAATAAAAAATAAAATGTTATCCTGAATAAACAAAATTGGAAAATGTTTTCTGGTATTTGGTTGGTGAATGAAAGATATTCGTTAAAGGATAATATTAACAAATCACAATATTTCAATGAAATCTTTGAGTAACAAAGTATTTAGTTGGAGCTAGTAATATGAAATTACTTAGAAGTCAAGTGAGGAAAATCATTTGTAGTTTGAAAAACATGTTTTTTCTTTTATAAGTTTTTAGTAACAAAACATAACTATGGTTTCATGTCCAAACACAATTTCAAATACTGGAGTATATTTTTCTTCAAATTTCAACCAAATCATGTCCAAACGCATGGACACGCAAAAATGTTAAAATCATGAAGGACTAATAGGAGATTTATTAATACTTACCTGCATAAATTTTTGAATCCAAGCAATTTTATCATTGTTCTCAAATCCAAAGACAGTAGTATGAGGATTCTTGATATATCTTTGGAGAAGAAAGAGATGGTAAACAAACAAGATGAACAATCCACTAGGCACCAAGAAAATATCAAGGTGTTCTTTGTGGAATACCATTTATTATTATTTTTTTCTCCTTTCTTATGTTCTTGTTTGAATATTTGTGAGATTGGTAGAATTTGAATGTTGTTTGTGATATATGAAATTGGCAAAAAAATGTTTGTTGCTTAAAAGGAACCTATTGCTTAAGGTATTGAATAGATATATCTTACAAGTAACATTCATACTTAATGATAGTAGCTTATACATTTTGAATTCTTGACTTGGTGGCTGTGATTGTAAGTAAACTTATTTACTAATTATATTACAACAAATTACCAAAATTATCTCTTGGCATTTTTTTTTTGTACAAATTAAACAAACAATTATTTAGGAAATTTGGCCTAAAGCAGAGTTGCCCTGTTTGTAGCTTCTTCAACTCTCTTGTAAACCTGTTTTCTTGTTCTAGAAGAACGATGATCGTGCAATTGCTTCGTGTTTTTGTCAAGGTAATGGAGGAAGAAAATCATCCCAATTGAAGTAATAAACATGGGAATTGGACCAAAAAACCATAGGAGTATAGTTGTTACAAAATAAAGTGATCTAAGCCCAAGTGACCAAAACTCACCTCCTCTTATAACAGCCAATTCAACATAACTAATTGGTATATCAGTATCTGGTGTTGTGATTAAGTAATTTGCATGAATGAAGCATCTAGATGATTGTACAAAACATGCAAAAGCCATCAAGAAGAAGATTAGTAGAGTTATGAGCTTGATTGACATTGTTTCTGGCCTTGTGTCACCATAAATTAGTACACTAGTGAAAAGAGTGTTGTTAGACATCCAGGCTCCAATGAGAGAACTCAATGATAATGAAACTGTTGCCAAGTATGTTGCATTACTGTTATTGGATTCTAAAACATTTAGAGCTGTATCCATAATTTTGGTATCTGAAGCCTGCAAAATTTAGTAAAAATGATAAGTTAGATGCAACCTATATTTTTAACGAGTTCAATTGAATTCAATATCTCAAACATGAAACATAATTATACAAGTGGAAAATTACTAAAGTTTCGACTAGGGGGGATTGACCTATCTACGAAGTGTAATTTTATGACAAAAGGAGATCAATTGACTCATTACTGGAAATAACGGTTTTTCCTACTACGAATTAGTGGAAATTTTGTGCTATAAATCATGATTTTTCCACTCATTTCTCATCGAACGAGTTCACTGGAAAAATGCATGGTGGAAAACAGTTCCTAATTTTTCCATATGAAAACATTATTATTTTTGTTTTTTTCCACCAATACAATAAAATATCTGTGGAAATCGCCACTGAACATTTTTCAATAGAAAACTATTGATTTTTAAGTAGTGACTCTCTTAGGAAAAAGGTGGCTCCGCCATTGATTTCAACAAATATTAAATTTTGAACTCATAATTTTTTTAAAAATAATAATGTTTATCATGAAAAGCTTTAAATGCCAGAATCATCAAGTTTAAATCTTAAATCTGTTTCTGTAAGTACATACTTTACCTGCATGATTCTTTCAACCCAAGCTCTCTTGTCATTGTTTTCAAAGCCCATGATAGTGGTATGAGGGATAGTAAGGTATCTATAGAGCAAATAGAGATGATAAGTGAACATGATGAATAGCCCACTTGGGACCAACAACAAATCAAGGTACTCTTTTTGGAAAACCATTTTTTTTCTCTTCCTCCTAGAAACCAGAGTAGTCAAGAATAAGAGTTCCAAGTGGCATCTTTTATATATATTATTTGTGCCTAACTTACTTACATGTGTAGCAAAGAATTAACAACTTGTATGGAAATCTCAACAGAATTTTGATAAGTAACCTATAGCTAGTTGTTATGTTCTTGACTTCTTGTCTCCACGTGATTATTTCTTCAAATTTATGCCTACCAATGCCATCATTCTGCTGAACATTTAATGGACTTAAAATAAGTTAAAAATAGAAGCATTTTCGAACCGGACGACAAAGATATTTTTAGACCAAACTAATAGCTAAGGGTATTTTTGCTCAGTTTCATATAGTTCAAAAGCTTTTTGACCCTTTTCCGTTTTCTTTATACTGTCGTGTATAAAAATTAAATTCAATTAAATATACAGGTCACTCAAAACGGAAAAATACCAATAGTAGATCAAGTGGTACACTATTTAATTGTTTTTCAACTTTCGGCAGTTTGAAAATTGAATTTTAAAATAATTTCCTTGTGCAAGTTTAACTATTTCCTCCGTTTCAATTTGATTGTCGAAAACACTTGAATCTTGTGTTATTATACTAAAATGATGTAGAATTTACCAAAATATCCTTTAATATTATGGTCTTAAACTTGTCATGTAGAAAGTTAGAATTACAGAGTTACCAAAATAGGTGTTGGTGTATATGCATTTTATTATTACAATAAAATATTAAGTGCATGTGTTAGTGGGTATAAATTGTGGTAAAAGATGACTTTTGGTTCTTGTAACTTATAAGACCATTAGTTCTTGTAACTCTCATGGTCATTAGTTTTTTGTAACTCATATGATCATTAGTGTTTTGTAACCTATGTAACATCGATCTATCACATTCATCTATCCACATTACTACCCTTCATTCTACCCATTGATTATATGGAAGACTTCTTCACTTATAAATAGTGGTATTTTTTCCTTTGTGAAATATCCTAAGAAAGATGAGAAGTGTGAAATAATGTTTTAGTGTGTAGTAGTGAAAGAGAGAGTTGAGACAAAGAAAATATTCTAAGTCTTCAACTATATTCATCACTATATACAAAAGAGAGTATTTATATATATGTTGAAGGAATGTGTACTTTTTGTGGAGTTTTGGACTCTTCAACTAATCCGGAGTTGTTTGAGTTGTACGACGTTATTGGGTTGTTGTATCCTGGAGGGGACAAGTCAAGACTGATACTGCTGGATTGGTGTAGATTATGCCACAGTGGGCTTGAATCTCCTTAAAGAGAGCGAGATATCCGTGCCTCAGCCTAAATATTTGTTTATACATTTTTGTTCATTTTATTTCAACTGTAATCTATTGTATTTGTGGTATATTACACCAACAATAGGAAAGAAACATTCTTTTTTAAACAAATAAAAAAAAGTAAGACAAACAAAATGAAACGTTAATTTTTTATTTTTTTTTGTACGTAGACTTTTAGACTCTTGATCATCAAGTATGGTTGTATGAGTATCACAGGCTGTCAGGTATCAACTAGTTATGTAGCTGTTACTTCAATTTACTGCAATGACATAGTTGAATGTTGGCACACGATAATGTTTTAATGTATGAACAGGCAAATATAGTTGCATCATCAGTGCAAGTTAAGGAATTTGACTTTCTCACAAAATTGAACCCTGCACAAGTTTAATTTACAAAGTGTGAATCAAATTCTCATCAACAAGTTGAAAGCTTAAATAGTCAATCAACTAAATTTTTAATATAAAATTTCCCCATCAAAGATGGTTTATTCAGATGAAACAGAGGTAATAGAACATTTCTAAAATTAATAAAAGTATTCCTTTTGTCTCAATTTATATAATATATTTCTTTTTACTATAAGAATTCATGAACTTCTAATCACATAATAATAACTTTATCAATTACGCTAAGACTGTCTTCTGTCAGCAGGGGCGGATCTACATTCCCCTTTCCGGGTGCTCCAGCACTCATTAATCTCGTATCGAACTAACTATATTTATATAGAAATTTGAAGTAATGAGATAAAATTAAAGAATGAGCACCCATGTAATAAGTTGTAAGAATCCGGAGCCTAAAGGGAAATTTTTTTTTGACAAAAATTTCAAAAGGGTACATCAAATTTTTTTCTAATCAAAAGGGCAAAATCGCTACTGACGCAGCGATTTTGCTTTGACGCCGTTAACAGATCAAAATCGCTGCCCGTGTAGCATTTTTTGCGATTTTTTTTTTCTTCAAAATCGCTGCAACAGCAGTGTTATTCTTTTTTAAAAATAAAAAATAAAATCCCTACCTTGACAGCTTTTTGGTGGAATTTTTTTTTTTTTGAAATTTCTGCCAACTAGTCAACATCAAAATGAGTAATTTTTTTTTTTTTTAGAAAACGCTGCCTTGGCAGCGATTTTGCTGAAAATTCTTTTAAAAAAAAAACAAAATCGCTACCTTGGTAGCGTTTTTGGTGGAAAATTTTTTATTTAAAAAAAAAAATTAAAAAAATCTCTGCCAATTGGTGAAAATCTTTTCTTAATATTTTTTTATAAATATCGTTGCCAATTTAACAAAAAATATTAATAAAAAAAATTGACAGCGATATTTATAAAAAAAAATATTAAGAAAAGATTTCCACCAATTGGCAGAGATTTTTTTAATAAAAAAGTTTCCACCAAAAACGCTGCCAAGGCAGCGATTTTATTTAAAAAAAAAAAAGAATTTTCACCAAAATCGCTGCCAAGGCAGCGTTTTCTAAAAAAATATTTTTTTTAGTCATTTTGATGTTGACTAGTTGGCAGAAATTTCAGAAAAAAAAAATCACAAAAAATAAATAAATTTCCACCAATAAAGCTGCCAAGACAGGGATTTTATTTTTAAAAAAAGAATAACACTGCAATAGCAGCAATTTTGAAAATAAAAAAGAAAAATAACGAAAATCGCTGTCATGGCAGCGATTTTCGAAAAAAAATAAAATTGGACAAAATCACTGCCCTAGCAGCAATTTTGATCTGTTAACGGCGTCAAAGCAAAATCGCTGCGTCAGTAGCGATTTTACCCTTTTGGTTAGAAAAATATTTCATGTGCCCTTTTGAAATTTTGTCAATTTTTTTTGCCCTTTAGACTCCGGACTCTGTAATAAGTAGTGAATTGGCTCAGTTGTCATAAGTGGGTGCTTAAGGTTCATGCACATTGGGATTTTGTCGCGGGTTTGATCTCCTTTGGAGGCATTTCTTAAAATTTTAAAGACAAGTTCTTCTTCTCTTCTAAACAACTTCACATAAATAATTGAAATTGGCGAGTAATAGAAAAAAGATCTAGAAGGTTGAATTCATGCAAGAGATTTCTGCTCATATATATGATCTTATAATTTCGGTGACTTTCAAAACTAGGCTATGGTTGATGAAGGATTTAGAGTATGTTTTGATTGATTTATTTCGGAAATGTTTGGATAAATAAAAATATATGTATATAATATATATTTTAAACAAAGACAAAAATAAGTTATAACTTATTCAGACGTGTTTCTAAGTATAAAGGGGTCGGACAATAGAAATATAAAAGGAAAAACTATCTAATTACACAAACATTTTTACCATATTTATTAGTTCTTCTTATTTGAAATAATAATTAGTATTTATTATCTCATTGATTTATAATCTCATATCATATTTCAAGTCAACACACCTAAGACACATAATTTTTTGCTATTATATACACTCTAAAATACATATACACAGAGAGAAGGGTGAGCCAAGGGAATGAGAGAGGATAGGAGAGTGTGTTTGATTGGCCAAGGCGGCAGGAACCGGCGCTCCATGGGGGCGAAAACTCAGACTTGTTTTCAGCGTGTCCGTCAATCAGAAAGTATAAATACGGTCAGTTAGAGGGAGAAAAAACCCACTTCTTCAGCATTTAAAGAGCTTTTGAAGGCAAAAACAAACTGCTTACTTACATTATCCAAGGTAATAATTCCAGCAGAGTTTGAGTTAATTTGGGTCAATTAACACTAGTTTAACTTATGAATAGTTACATTACCGGAAATGTCAACAAGAACCCTTTAAGTTAAAGGGTAGGGTTTGAGGAATTGCTTCCAAAAGTAAACCCACTATCTTGAACTGACAAATTGGTATTATTGGGATAGTATGAAATCATAAAGCTCAATATTTTTTGTAGTAGTTTACTTGTGGAACTGAAAGAAGCCATGAATGGAAATAGGAAATTAGGAATTAGTCAAAATTTGATGGAATAATTCTAGTGGATAACTTCAGACTTAAATTGATTAAAACGCAACCCTAGCATGAAAATTTGAGATTTTCAAGAAATATTGAACTATCTTGTGTTGATGTGTTCAGGCCTGATGGTTGTAGATTTCGGCATTTGACGGATATCTGGGAAGTTAAAAACGCAAGTTTCAGTCGAAAGTTGAGGTACGTTAAGGCTACCTTCCTAAATGGATTATTGACAAAAGCATGTCTACCAAGTGTTTGAAAGAAGTTTTGAGGTTAAGTTCTTAGGGGACAAGCAGAGTGCTTAACTCTCCGTATTCTATCCTAGCACAGTTTTCAGATAAATAATTGCATTATGTTGAAGTACTTCTGTGTGAATAAAATTACTTGATTGTCTTAATTTGTGCATTTTGTGTAATTCCTGCATCCAGTTTCAGTACATTAATCTGATCACATTCAGCTGGGCGAAGTTACCACTTCCCCGAGCATGAGTGCCAAAGCGGCGAGTTGTTAGCTACCCCATTCTTGCTCGTAAGCTAAGTTGGCCCTCCCCATACGTAGCACCAGTCACACACATGCAAGTTCATTATTCGTAACTTATCATAATAGAATATTTCCTGATAAAATAAGGTTTCAAGAATAACTGTCAGTTCGGTTTCAGTCCAGTTATTAGTTTCAGTTACAAATTTCAATAGAAGTACCAGTTATAGTTTCAGACTGTGAAATGTTACATATATGTTTTTTTTTTTTGATAACCAATGTTACATATATGTTTTACTGCATTTCATATTTACCTCACTATGTCCTGCAGCACCATTTAGGATAGTTAATGAGAGCCTACTCTTCCTTTCTGGATGAAGATTGAGGTTGGTACCACCAGCTGGACTCAGCATCCATATTCAACATTCTTCTGCTATTCGTTCGGTGGGGGATTTTATCCTTATTAGTCATATTCAATTGTTTCAGTATTCCAATATATGCCCCGAAGGCTCTATGTACTTAGCGATTTTATCTTTCTTTAGAGGCTCATGACTTGGTAATTGACAACCATTACAACACCAACCACCTCCACCATCACAACTATCAACACCATCATTACTATCCACTTAACATCAATCAGTACCACCATCACCATCACTAAAAACCATCTCTACTATCATTAGTGAACGTAATTATTACATTCTTTTATCAAATAATGATTTTATTTTATTCAATTAATATTTTTTTAATATTTAATTAATTTTTTATTTGAATTGTATATTTATTTAGATTATGCACATTTGGATGTTGAAAAACAAACAATCATTATCATTATGTGCTTAGATCTAGAGACAGTATTGTAATCGTTCAGAAGTGCATTAAGATTCAAACGTCTTAATCTTAATGAAAACAAATGAAGCTTAAGAGACATAGAGCAGATAATTTTAAGGGAAAGCTTGAATGAGGGACCTTAGGCCAAGGACAGGTGTAATCTTGTAGCTCATGAAACCACCCTCAAGGAATAGCTTTTCCAATTCTTTCTCAGTTCTCTGCCTTCCAGTAGCTACAACCATCACTAGTACATCAAATATGAGCTTCACTTCAGTCATGTCTGCTTCTTCTTCATCTCTATCCAATACCATGTCAATGATTAGGACCTTCCCTTTTCTTCCTCCATATTTATCCTTGATAGCTTCTCTGCATTTCTTTAGTATCTTCACACAATCCTCATCACTCCAATTATGCATAGCATGCTGCAAAAATTATGTCATGTTTTCTCAGTTTCTTAACTGTTTTGTTGGACATTGACATGGACAGGATAACAGACACTGTAAATATCACAAACTCGTGACAATCTTCATCACTCCAATTATGCATAACAGTCTGCAAAATGTCATATTTTCTCAAGCATAGGACAGTCTTAACTGTTTTGTTAGACATTGCCATGAGCAAAAAAGCAGACAAGAGGAATTCTAAAGAATAGGGATTTAAATTGCCTATTTCTCTCTTCTAGCAAGAAAAAAAGTAAAGATATGATACTTGAGCCTAACTCAACCCCAATAGCAAGCTCATGATACCGATGGCCTATAGCCTTTAATACAGAAACCGTATAGTAACTGAAAGATGACACCTCCCACATATTTCAAATTTTCTGTCTGTGGCATTTTAGCAATAACATGAAGAAGGTCTAACATGGTGCATTTTAGGTGAGGAAATGCAGCCAAATTTCTTTTCTGTAATTCCACCCCCCCTCCAATATCAAGCAAAATAAAACTAGAACATGTTAAGGATGAAACTTTTGTGCATACCTTAAGTAAAATTGCATCAGCATGGGGAATAGACTGAAACATATTCCCTCCTACATAAATTAAATTCTCACTCTGTGGCATATTGGCAACAACATGTGGAAGATCAAGGACAGTGCATTTCAAGTGAGGTACTGCCTCCAAGCAGGGGCGGCTCAATGTAATTCGGGGCCTAAAGCGAAAATTTCGATTCGAGGCCTCAAATATAAACAAACTTCGTATACATATTTATTCAAATTTTATTTCTATAAGTAATAAGTTGACAAATATTGAATAAAGATAAGAGTTAGAACCATAGAATCTCAAGAAATTGATGACTTGCTATACCCCATTTTAATATGCTTGAGGTAATGCTTGAAACTAAAATTTAAAAACAAATAAAAAAGAATTTGTAGTGCACTTTGTTCAACACTTTTCACTATTAATTTTTATTTTTAACAAAGTACAAAAGATGTTCAAGTGGGTAAAATAATATATTTTTAAAATATTATACTTTTAATCATAAATAATTATTTTTTTCTATAAATTTTTTAACAGGTAATTTGTTCTTGATAAAAATTTGGGGCCCCAAAATTTGGAGGCCTAAGGCGTAAGCCTTATCTTATAAAGCATAGAGCCACCCCTGCCTCCAAGATGGTCTTAGCTACAATGCCAGTACCACTGCCAACATCAACCAATGAATTCAGTCCCTCAAAACCTTCCCTGCAGTCGTTAACAACTAATCTCATCATTTGGGAATCACTAGCCATTCCTTCATTAAAAACTCTGTCAAATATTGGATTTTGTGCACAAAAGTCCCACATAGGCACCCCATGTGCTGTCTCAAATGGCGTCGCTTCTTCATTCTTGTGAAACCATTCTCCCAATAATTGCCAAGGAGTGACAAGGACAGGATCAACCATTACTCGAACACAAGGTGACAAATTTGGGATTTCACTCTTAAGAAGCAGCCTTGAAGAAGTTGTCAAAACATATCCTTCTGTTTCTGAGTTTTCTTCAAGCTTTGTTATATCAAAGAATTGAGAGTGCACCAACAGACGCATTAGTCAATGAATGCCATTTGATTTTGATGAGGGAAGTTTTAGTGCTGAAAGTAGATCAGGAAGAGTGATTGGTTTTTTGTTGTTATGAATAATATCTGGTATGCCTAACTGAATGGTACAATTCAGGGACATGGAATTTGCATAAGCAAATGCATGTTTGTAAATATGAGCCTGTGCTTTGAAAATTTCACTGGCTCTTTCAACATTATTATTTTTTTCCATTAGCTCAGAAAGTTTTCAACCTTGTTGCTGAAACTAGCTTGTGATGAGCTATATTTTATGGATAGAACAAAGCTTGTGATGAGCTGTCTTCATGTATGTAATTAGGTTTGTGATGGTATGCTCAGAATTGTAACAGCTCCCTTTTTTCTTGTTATTCCAAAAATTAAAATGTGTGCCATACCAATAATAGCTCTATCCTTACAAGAGCATATTCTCATGTTTATTTTATCCTATGACTTCTCTTGTCTTTTAGCATTGAAACTGAACCACTCTTTTGCTTAGTTTTAGGCTTAGTTGCGCGGACTCTCCACTTTTGATGCTGCACCCGTCTTGGATTCTCCAAAAATACACTACTTTTGGCGAATCCGACACGCACCCGTTGGCATTTTTGAAGAGTCCGAGCAACATAGATTTTAGGGAAAAGGTCCAATTAAGTTTTGACGTTGTGCACATTCAGTTTTAGGGAAAAGGTCCAAGCAGGCCTCACATTGGTATTAACTGCTAAAATTAGTTTATTGTGTACATGACTTGTGGCTATAGTTTGCAGGAGGAAGTATAAAGAAGCATATGTTTAAAAAGGTTCGATGAGCTAGTCGCACGCTTCATAATTTCATATGATTGTTTCCTTAACAATACATGTAGTTCATCACAACTACAACAACACTAAGTGGGGTTTGGGGAGGGTAGAGTGTACGCAGACCTTACCACTATCTCAAGGAGGTAGAGAGGTTGTTTCTGAAAATCCTTTGGCTCAAGTGCATCAAACCCAAGTATAAAAACAAGTAACAATGAAGAAAGCATAGTCGTTAATAAGAAAAGCAATGTAAAGTCTACAAGAAAGAAAGAAACAATAACAACACCAAAATAGTGTGATAATGGAACACAATATACAACATAAGGCAAGAACTACAAGGGTACGACAATACATGTAGTTCATCAATTTATTTTAATCCTTACATAATATTTTAAGGAAAAACTTCAATGAGGGACCTTAGGCCAAAGAGAGGTGTAATCTTGTAGCTCATGAAGCCAGCCTCAAGGAATAGATTTTCCCATTCTTTCTCAGTTCTCTCCCTTCCAGTGACTAAAACCATCATTAGTACATCAAAAATGAGCTTCACTTCAGTCATGTTTGCTGCTTCTTCATCTCTATCCAATACCATGTCAATGATAAGGACCTTCCCTTTTCTTCCTTCATTTTTATCCTTGATAGCTTCTCTACATCTCTTTAGGATCTTCACACAATTTTCATCACTCCAATTATGCATCACATGCTGCAAAAATTAACTCACATTTTCTTAACCATAGGACAAAGTTTTTAAACTGTTTTTGTTAGTCATTGGCATGAGCAACAAAACAGACAAGAGGAGATCAAAAGAACAGGGATTCGAATAGCCTGTTTTCCCCCTTCTAGCAAGATAAAAACGTAACTGAAATTAAACAAGACATTGTAAACATCACGAACTGATGAATGATGACCTATAGCCTTTAATACATAATCTATATAGTCTTCCAAAAAGAGTGCCTTGATTCGGAATATGAGGATCAAAGTAACTAATGTTTGGTGTGAATTCGGACGTATAATGTTTTAATTTTTTAAAATAAAATTTATATATTAAGAAACTACATAAAAATTAACAATTCTAAATATTTAAAAATTATTTGGAAAAAAAATTAAGATCAAGGAAAATATCTTTGATGTCTAAATAGTAACTAAGGCAATCTTTTTGGGATGGAGGGAATAATTGAAATACTACATAAGTCAATACGAACTCTTGAGATGTGAGGTAAAGTTATTTACTTAATTATATCTTCAACACGCCCCTAATGTAAATTTTTTTTTGACGAAGGGTGCAGTGAGCTCAAACCTAGGATCTTTCTTTTATTTACTTCACTATATGTTCAACATGAATGTTCAGCAAGTTGCAAAGGAATTTCTGAAGGCATAATACATAAACAAACCCTCAAATTTGGTCTTAGCTAGTAAATAAGCACTCCAACTTTGAGAGTGCAAATCTAGACTCCTCAACTTGATCTCGAGTGGCAACTAAACACTCCAACTCGGCCTCACTGTGTCTGGTGCACACCTGACATTGATGTGACATAAAATTTGGAGGTGTCTAGATAATCATTTTGTAAATTGAAATGTTTAACTGACACAATGGAGACGAGTTGATGTGTCTAGATGTGCATATTCAAAGTTAGAGTGTTTACTTATTAGTTGAGGCCAAGAGGGAGGGAACAAAACCTTTCATCCCTCAAGTTAATCAGATTGAGGAAATTCTAGAGTGCATCAATCTCAGCATATCAAATTTCCAATTAGAGATGTACCACCAGCAGTTTGTAAACAAAATCTAGAATCGTGTTACCTTAAACAAAATGGCATCAGCAGAGGGAATTGAGTGAAACATGTCACCTCCTACATATTTCAAATTTTCTGTGTCTGGCATGTTAGCAACAACATGAGGTAGGTCCAACACAGTGCATTTTAGATGAGGAAATGCAGCTAAAATAGTGTTAGCTATAATTCCAGTGCCACCTCCAACATCAACCAAGGAATCCATGTCTTGAAAAACTTGTTTGCAGTCCTTTACAACCAAACACATCATTTGGGAATCACTAGCCATTGCTTCATTGAAAACATTGTTGAATCTTGGATTTTGGTCACAGAATTGCCACATGGGTGCACCATGTGCTGTCTCAAATGGGGTGGTTTCGTTTCCTAGAATCCAATCCCCCAAAGATTGCCATGGATTCACCATAACAGGATCAACCATAGCTCTAGCAAAAGGTGACAAGTTTGGGATCTCACTCCTCAAAAGCAGCTTAGAAGAAGGTGTAAGAACATACCCTTGTTGATTTTCTGAGTTTTCATCAAGAAATTCTCTAGTAGCAAAGAAGCCAGAGTATACCAATAGGCGCATCAATCGATGAATTGCATCTGATTTTTCAGGAAGAAGTTTCAGCTCAGAAACAAGTTGAGACAGAGTCATTGGCTGCTTATGACTATGAATAACATCTGGTATACCTAATTGAATTGCACAACCAAGAACCATGGAATTTGCAAAACTGAAGGCATGCTTGTAGATATGAGCCTGACCTTGAAACATTTCACTAGACATTGGAACATCCATTTCCCTGCTCTTTTTCTTTTAAAACAAATATAAACTTTTAAGGATGCCGCCTGCAGGGCCGGCTAGAGAGTAAAACTCATACGTCAACTGCTTTGACTTTGAATACTAGTAATAGACTTATAGGTTGACGGTTCCAAGGATTTTCAATCGAAAGTTTGAAAAATAAAAATACAATGTCTAAAATTTAAACTTAATAATTTATAGCTGAAGAATATTATTGAATCAAAGGTATTGGGTATTCTTTTTTTTTTTTTTTTTCTCAAAGTTTCAAGTATTACAACTATATTGAAGCTATCAAAGGTTATGTATTGATATCAAGTTATCAACTTGTCAAATTTAAAATATGGTATATGAAAGTAGATGGGGAAGAGTGATTGGTTATTTATGTATAATATATGGTATCCCTAGTTGTGTGTGACAATTAATTTGCAGAAGTAAATGCATGCTTGTCTAATTGTCTTTAGGTATGTAATTAGGTTTGTGATGACATACTTAGAATTGTGACAGCTCCCTCTTTTCTTGTTATTCAAAAATTAAAATTTGCGTCATTCTAATAACAGTTCTATCCTTTATCTCTGTCGTTAACGAAATTGTAACATGAAATGATTCATATTTCAAGGATAAAAATGAGATTTTTTTCAAACGGCAAAGCAAATTTAGACTAAAAGTCTTGTAGAGCACAAAATTGCTCCTAAGCCCCGCCCCGACGCTTACTAAAATTTTAATTTATAATATAATAAAATAATATACACAACGAAAACAGATCCTAGAATAAATAATGATAAAGAGTGTTTGTTTCTTGCCATGAGCCTAAACCTATCGAGAAATGTTTAGGGTTTTCTTTAAGAATTGGGTTTAGAATGATGGGCAATTGATTTAGAAAGGATTGGTCGATACTCGATAGTTTTAAATCAGGTGGATCCAGGTTTGGGTTGGGTAAGTTAAGTTTTAATTAGTTAATTAATTTTTCAATCAATCAGATAACGCCACGTAATAAATGAAATTATTAATTATATGAACTAATTCATCTATTTGTGAAAATGACATTATAGACCCCTGAAGGTTAACCCCCCAAGGATATTTTGAGGTCAAAAGGTAAACGAGGGTATTTTAGATCCTTCTCTAATAAAACAATTAAGTTTAGTAAAAATTGAATTGGATTGGGTCGTGACCCCTTATGTAACCCATTACTTAACCCGTTTTGACCCAACTTCTTTTTACCTAACCAAATTTGGGTTGGGTTGGATCGTGACACGTTATGTAACCCATAACTTAACCCGTTTGACCCAACTCTTTTTTTTACCTAAGCAAATTTGGTTGAGTTGGATCTGAGCCTGATTATTGTCACAACCCATGATTATGACCCGCCCAAATTTAACCCAGCCCACCCAATTGCCACAATCTATTCTAGTTTAGAAGGTTGTGCCCTGGGTAGAGTATGGTAAATGGAAGAAAAACAATTTCAAACTGACAGAAAATGAACAAGTGTCATATTTTGCATACAATTAGTGTATCCAACCTATTTTATTCTTGAGGTTACTAATTTTACTTGTGTTGATGTTTACGATTTACCTGTAACTATCTTTCTGGGCATGTCAAGAATAAAAATTTGTGTGCATACCAAGCAAAATGGCATCCGCACGAGGAATAAACTGAAACGTGACATTTATGTATTCCTATAGTACGCATACAGATTTGATCATTTTCTCTTATTTCAGTGTTTCTGTTGGTTTTTTTAAAAGATGGACGGCAAATAATAATTGAAATTTTTTCTCAATGAATTGAAATAACTTTCAATAATCTGCATAATTTGAAATTTAAAATAACTTAAAATATCTCAACAACCTAACTAAAATTCAAAAACAACTGCAATAACCAAAAGCAAATCTCAACATATGCCTGAAGAAGGAACATTCCTCCAAAGAAAATGAGATTTGACCCAATGTTGCAGGGCAACCAAGACCAAAGACTGACAAGAAGTAGATGAAAATGATTAATTCAAAAGTACAAGAGAATAAAAGGAAGGGAAATTAAACTAGTTCATCAATTTCCTTAAGGGAAAATTTCAATGAGGGACCTTAGTCCAAAGAGAGGTGTAATCTTATAGGTCATAAAGCCAGCCTCAAGGAATAGCTTTTCCCATTCTTTCTCAGTTCTCTCCCTCCCAGTAAGAAGCACAATCATTGCTACATCATAAATGAGCTTCACTTCAGTCATGTTTGCTTTATCTTCATCTTCATCTCTATCCAATACCATGTCAATTATAATAACCTTCCCTTCATTTTTTTTATTATCCTTGATAGCTTCTCTACATTTCTTTAGTATCTTCACACAATCCTCATCACTCCAGTTATGCATAACATGCTGCAAAAATTATGTCATATTTTTTAACTGTTTTGATGGACATTTGGCATGACAGACAAAGAGATGAAATTTTTTACCAACAAAAGCTAGAATAGTAGTCATGTTACCTTAAACAAAATGGCATCAGCAGAGGGAATTGAGTGAAACATGTCACCTCCTACATATTTCAAATTATTTGTGTCTGGCATGTTAGCAACAACCTGAGGGAGGTCCAACACAGTACATTTTAGATGAGGAAATGCAGCCAAAATTGCCTTAGCTATAACTCCAGTGCCACCTCCAACATCAACCAAGGAATTCATGTCTTGAAATACTTGTTTGCAGTCCTTTGCAACCAAACACATCATTTGGGAATCACTAGCCATTGCTTCATTGAAAACATTGTTGAATCTTGGATTTTGGTCACCGAATTCCCATATGGGTGCACCATTTGCTGTCTCAAATGGAGTGGTTTTATCTCCTAGAAACCAATCCCCCAAAGATTGCCATGGATTCACCATAGCAGGTTCAACCATTGCTCTAACAAAAGTTGACAAGTTTGGTATCTCACTCTTCAAAAGCAGCTTAGAAGAAGGTGTAAGAATATACCCTTGTTGGTTTTCTGAGTTTTCATCAAGAAAATCTCTAGTAGCAAAGAAGCCAGAGTATACCAATAGGCGCATCACTCGATAAACTGCATCTGATTTTTGAGGAGGAAGTTTGAGCTGTGAAACAAGTTGAGACAGAGTCATTGGCTGCTTATGACTATGAATTACATCTGGTATGCCTAACTGAATTGCACAACTAAGAACCATGCAATTTGCATAACTCAAGGCATGCTTGTAGATATGAGCCTGACCTTGAAACATTTCACTAGCCATTGGAACAACAGTTGCAGAATTTCACTGATATCTTTTTCTTCTTATAAACTTCGGATGGAGTTTCATTACATATATATGGATAGGTGAGCCAATCAATCAATACATAAATGGCGTACTTTAACTTAGCCTCATTTCATATTTATGCACTCTAATTTTGGGTGTATAAAAGTAGACATTTAAACTTATATAAAGTTGACATGAATCCTACGTGGTAATATACCACGTAGGACATAAATAGCTATGTATGATGTCACGTAAGACATGTGTGTCTATTTATTCAATTTTATACAAGTTTAAGGGCCCATTTGGCTATTCAATATGAAATAATGATATGAAATCATAATACTATGAAATATGAGATGAAGTTGAAGTTTTGTTTGGACATGCGATTTAAATTTTTTGTATTGTATAATTTCTCATAAATATAAGAATCTCATAAGTTGTAAAATTATTAAAATAGTCTCAATTATTTATTCAGTCTTACCAAATAAACAAAAAAAAATTGAAATCTCATATTAAATTATTACAAAGCTATTTGTTCTCCACTTATAAGAAAAGCTTTGTTGCATTGTCAAAAGTAATAAAAGTTTGTTTTGTCTAATTCTTTCTACTCTAAACTATGATTATTTCGTTGAGAAGGTCATCTCAATTTGGTTTATTCTGCTCTCTGAACTCTGAAGTGAGTGAATGTCTTACACATGTATTTGATTCAATTATAAGAAAAAAAACTTACCTCCATTGTCTCGGAATCAATAGCGGAGTACGAGTAAGAGTATCAAGGCACTAGCTTCCATTTTGGACTCGAACATCAGTTCCCAAACTCTTTGAACTAATAATCTAGTTTTAGAAAGTAGACTCTCTACCCTCACAAGGCGGGGTAAGACTACACACACACCACTCTTCTCAGATCCTACGTGGATCACACTGGGTATGTTATTGTTTTAGCAACTACACAAACGATAACACAACTTATCATGGATAGAAGTATTTAGAGACATATTTGAAAAGAATAGTCAAAGATATACCCCTTTAGATAAATAAAACATTTATTAATCAAATTTTAATTCAATAAAAAAATTAAACATAAATTGTAGTAATAAATTTGGTTGATAAATAAATTTGATAAAAAAAAAATAAATTCGGTGAATATAAATAATAAAGTAGGAATTAATTTAAAGTAATAATAAATTTTATGTTGGTGAGAATACTAAATTATAAAAAGTAATGATATGATTATAAATTTTATATACATATGAAATAAATGGTTAGTAGATATAAATGTGGAGTTGTTTTAATAAAATATAAATTTGTGGATCAATTTTTGTATTTGAACAATCCCAAATCATTATTTGAAATTCCCAAATTATGATTTTTTTTGGAGAATATGGAATTTCATTTCATGATATGGCATGTGAGAGATTATTTTTGAATGAAAAACGTGTGGGCCTACCTCTTTTATCGTCTCTCCTACTTTTTATCCCTAGCCCTCTTTTTTCACTTTCTTTCCCATCAACCTTTTCTATTTCTCATTTTCCTAAGTTTTAGTTCAATTTACGGATTATTTTTTTCAGTTGTAAATGTTATTTTATCTAATGGAATACCTTTTATCATTTACATATTTATTTATTTTATTTGATAATTGACACATATATTATATTTTAAATTTTTTTATTATATCAAAAATATGAAAAGGAGGAAATTATTAGTGACTAGGAAAATTTTCACTCACGAGATAAACGTCTATGTAGTCAATCAATTAAGCTATTAAAATCTCTCATTTGATACATGCATATATGCTTGATTGATTGATTTTTCACTTAGCAAATCAAAATTTTATCATTTTTTTATATTAATAAAGTATAAATATTTGGTTAATAAATCAATTTTTATATTATAACAAAGTGGATTATAATAAATATTTGTATATAAAAAAATTAAATTTATTTTCGCATTATGGTTAATACTTTTTATATGATTATTCACCATAAACTAGATAAGATCTAAATTTGTGAAATAGTGTAACATTTACATCATATTTCATAAAATTTAAAATTACATTTATCGTAATATGCTTCAAATTAAACTAAAATAAAAAATATAAAAAATCAAAAAAATAAGATTCTATTTTATTTTTTCATCTCATATTCTTGATAAAATAATTTTTATTTTAAAAAAAGTACCTATCAATTATCAAAATGAAAAGATAAATATATTATAAATAATAGAAAGAATTGGGTAAATAAAATTCACAATTGAAAAAATTGATGCGAAAATTAAACAAATAATTAGAAAAATAAAACGTGTAAGGAAAGAAAAAGGAAAAAGTAGAAGAGGGAGACGAATGCAGTATGAATGAGGTAGGACCGACATACACCAACTCATATCTATCTCTCACGCCATAAAATTTTTCCTGTAATAATTAAAAGGATAAACTACATTATTAGACATACATCACTACTATATATACTAATATTATCTTTACTTTTAAACAATTACATATATTACCACTTTTAGTATTTTATACCATATATTAATATATTATTTAAAAATACAATTAGATATCCACATCCCTTAAAACTATTATTGATTAATTATTTGCTTAAATAACTCTTTCACTCCAAATCAACCACTATCTCTTAATTCTCCCCTCCCATGTTTATCACTCAATTATGTCTCCTCCTTTTTTATTCAAGAATTTCATCTTACAATTTCATTTCAACAATAGTTAATCTACTCTCTTCTTCTCAAGATATCATCACCACAAATTCTCCTGAACCCAAATAT